GCGGGAGCCCGGCTGGTGCGCGCCGCGGGTTCCCGCTGGCGCGGGGCGCTGGCCGTGGTGCTGAGCGCTCGGCTCGTGCGGCATCGCGCCTGCCGGGTCACTGCCGCGCCCTGGTACACTACCGAGGCTGGGGTAAGTCGCTGAGGCCCCGTCAGCCTCTTCCCAAGGGTACATTTTTCTTGCGGCGGGGGTCCTGGGGGGAGGGCATGATGTAGGAATCTCGTGTGTTGTCTCCAGGGAGGGGCCCCTTCATCCCCGTGGTGCTCAGCGCCACAGTGGGGGACGTGGGATCTGAGGATTGTAACCCTTTTAGGTTGGGCTAAGGAATAGGAAAAGCCTCCCACGCCAGACGCTGAGGCCCGGAGAAGAATGAATAAGGTTGTGGAGCCTCATCTTTCACCTAGGCAGGTGAGAAGCACCCAGGGGCGCTCTCAGAGAAGCTGGGCCAGGATCTTCACTCCCCAAAGCACTCTTTGTCTCTCCGAAGTGGGGGTGGGGTGGTGGGTGATGTTCTCCACCCTGGATTCTATTTCTGCTGTATACCCCGCCCCCACCCCCGAACGCAGGATCTTTCCGTCCACAGGGGCCACCCCTCCCTCCATCCAATGGCAGGGCCGCCTGTTACTGAGACGCAGTCCCGCCCCACAGCCTCCACCCCACCCAGCTTCCCGGAAGCTCCGCTCCTAGGCCTGTGCTTCCTGCCACCACATACCCTTGTACTTCACTCTTGACTTTCCCAGATACTGAGCTCCCCAGACAGGGAGAGGCAGAGCAAATGCCCAGACTGCTAACCAAGTATGTTGTGTCTCAAAGTGCTTCTGTTGCATGTGTGTTCCTCAGGGGCTTTTATTTTGTTCCATGAAGTCAAACACTGAATCATGTCCATGTTTAGAAAAGAAAGAAAGGCACAGCATTACCTTCCCAAAGGGAAAAAGAAGGCCTAGACAGGAGAGTTGAAGTTAGTCATCAAGTAGAAACAGCCAGTAAAATGACCGCAAGTGTGCTTAATTTGCGGTGAGTCTGCGTCCAAGCGCATGCTGTGCTGATAACCAACTTGAACATCTCCGCCACCGCCTTCTCCCCACTAAGTGTGGTCTGGTTCCTAGCCCACCCCCTTGCCTCCTCCTTTGACCCAAATTTTCATTTCATCTTGTGAACGTTAGAACGTTAGAGTCACTTGTGAACGTTAGAACTTGGCTGCTTCATTTGCTCTTGAAGGCTGGCTCCTTACTGCTCCCAGGATAAAGCTAAAACCTCAGGCAGGGTGTGGCCTACCTGGTCAGTCTCCTGCTCTCCACCCACAGGTCTGCTCCTCTGCTCACTATGTCCACTTTCAGGTCTTTAAATAGTCTCTTTTCCCTGGGCGGACTTCTTTTCAGGGTGTTCCCTCTTTTGCCTGGTTGTCCTCTACTATCTTCTGGCTTTGGTTTATATATCACTCCTTGCAGTTGAGGAGTTGATTAAATGGATGCAGTGTGTGGTTTCTGTCTTCATGGAATTTGCAAGTTCATTTTAAAACTGAGAGGCTTATGCCAGGGCTGTGGTTGTCACTGAGACCCATCTTAGGAAATGAGGCCAATGAACTGTTTTTAGAACGAAAAGTTCCAGACCCCGTCTCCTGTTCATGAAACTTGGATGTGAATAAGAGGTTAAGGTGTCTCACATACAAAGGATTTAATCTAAAGAAGCAATAGCTTAGTGCAGTATGGTCGGAGTCCTAGGCTTTGTAAGTTTTTCAGACTTATTGAAGAACAAGACCAAACACCAGAATGAGTACTTGTTGGTTGCTGAGTACCGCAGAGAAGGGGCAGACCACTTCCCGCAGAAGAGGGAAGGACCTGTCGTGTTTGGAGCCGAGTTTCCACTGACAGATCTGTAGCCACAGGGTCCCGAAGCAGAGTGTGCATTTCTGCAACTGAGAACTGACACATATTTGGCCGCTGCCCTCAGGCAGTGACAGTGCCAGCATCTGACTGTCCACACAATCCCCCTCTGTCCCTGAGAACTGACATGGAAGGTAGCTGCTCACGCTGCCTCCTGCCAGGCTGCTGGCTCACCACACACATCTGCAGAGACAGGATGGATCGGATCAAGCCAGTTTCTGTAGTACGTGTGTAGTCGGTGTGATTGTCATCATTTTGATTGCTCCAGTTTACTGTCCTGTACTTGTTCTGTCCCCAAGAGTGCTACATAAATTCAAAAGAAGGTTTGCTGACAAGAGTGACTTCCTGCCTCCAGTCACTGATAGCAATGGTGGCCATTTGAAGGGGCCATTTTCCATGTTCACAGTGAAAGACGTTTCTGAGTGGTCATGATTTTAGATCAGTTGACCATTCTGTCAAACAAATCATTTTAGTTTTTGTAGTTCCAGAACTTTTCACCTATAAAATAATTCTCATTTTGTTTTGCTTGATGTTATTTCCAAGGGCGTTCAAAACTTTTTTTCAAAACACAGAAAAAGATGAAATAGAGAGAGTATGATGAGTGTCTCCAAAATTCTTGCCACTGACATCATACCTTCAATTCTAGTTTTCCTAGATTTCTGCAGGCTACCCTCGTTGCCTATCATTTTCAGTTTCATTGTGCTTTTCCAAATTCATCCCAAGAATACGTTTATTATTGTACCTCTAGATTTCTCGCAAAAGACAGTTTGGACTATTAATTCATAGAATATCAGACTCAAGTGCAAGCTCTGTCATTTTTGACCTGTGTGACCTGGGCCAATCTGTAGACTTTTCTGAATCTGAATTTATTCTTGGTAGAATAGGTGTGTGTATAATGTGGTGGGCAGGGAGCCTGACAGCATTTAGGGTGAAAGGAAAGCCCATGAGGGTGTGTGCCAGGGAGATACTCAGAGGATGCTTTTGTCTTCTGCCTTTATAAGGTCATGGACCAAGCAACCTGCCTAGTCAGGTGTGTGGCCAAGGCTCATGCCTGGGTGGCCCGACACGAAGCCCAGATTCTAAGAACTGCTGTCTGCAGGAGAGCCTTTGGTGCTAGGGGAGGCCTCATCTAGGCTGCAGAGGAATGTATGGAGTGGAACAGCGCCTGCAGGTGCAGGTTAGGAAACACCTGGTCACATGCCAGCTGGCAGGGCAGACAAGCCAACATGACAGCCTGAGGCACTGTCCCCTCATCCAGACTGCTGTCACAGGGGCAAAGCTGCAGCTGGAGCTGAATCCAGGTGCCGCAGTTCTCTTGGGTATAATCCCACTCCTTGTCTTCTTCTCTAGCCAAGAGTCCCAGGTGCCACTCGGATGGAAGAAAGTGCCACCCACAGGTAGGAGCAAGTGGAAGCCCCTGAAAAGGCATCTTTACTGACATGGCTGTGAGGCAGGCCCTCTGCCCACCTGGGTCCTTAGGTGGCCTTTCAGGGACTTTTGCACTGACCCCGTTGGTCTGCACCTGTGAAGCGGTCGTCTGGTAGTCCTGGGAGGCTCCCTCAGGAGTTCTTCCACATGGCAAGCAGCAGACGGAGCCACTTGTCCTCTGCTGTTGCAGGTCCCCTCCCTGGTGGGAGCCAGTGAATGAATGCAGGGGCAGTCTGCAGAGCAGGCCTCCTGGAGAGTCAGACCAGCCACATTCTCTCTCCTTCAGTTTCTCCCTGGCCAGACTGACACATGATAACCCTCAGACCACTCTCTGCTGAGGAGAGGGGGCAAAGGAAAAGCGGCAGGCAAGAAGCATTGCCAGGAAAGGAGAGGCCGTTGGGCACACACCCGAGAGGTCCTTGGAGGAGGTTTATTGGCTTTCTTCTCTCTTCTGGCTCCTGAGGATCTCCAAACCTACCCCAAGGTCAGCATGCGTAAACAAGACCCTTGCCCCCTCCTCCAAATCAGCTCCTGGAAGCCCCCACCCCCACCCCTCCCCTCCCCTTGCTCCTGCTATCCTTTTCCTTGACTTTTCCCTCTGCACTTAGTCAGTCCCACTCTCCTGGCATGACCTGAGCTCTCCAGCCCAGAGCTGGTGCCTGCTTCTTCTCCTCAGGGTCACTAAGTCCTGGTGCTTTCCCCTTAGGAGGACCTGGGAACCTCACGCCCGTGAGGCACCTGCCTCACCACCTATCCTCGGCCTGTCCGGACATCCCTTATTTGTTCTCTTACACACAACAGTCGGAGGCACCAGTGTCCTTAGTGCTGCTCATCAGGAGGACTTACAGGTGCTTCACTCACTCCAGAATAAGGCCACATCCCCAGCTGCGCCACGACAGACAAGCTGCCACAGTTTTGTGTTACCTAACCCAAGTCCCACCCTCAAGGCAGACCCCAGTGCCCTTCCCATGGTATTCAACCTGGATGTCCGAAACCTCTGTCTGTCAGTGATAGGTGTGCAGGGGACAGCTGCCTGCCTGGCTGGCCTGCGGCATTCTGCGCATGTCAGTCTGCACAAGTGCCCCCGGTGCTTCACATTCAGGAGTTTTCTGTCCTGTATACCTTCAGGCTCTGCAGGCACCATATTAGACGCGGAAGTGCATCTTGTCCAACTGTAGGCTGAGCCTTGTCTCGCCCGGTCCTGGAGTACAGCGTGTGCCACTTACTCCATGGCTGGCTGGCTGCTTCAGGTCTGAGAGGTGGGCAAAATGGAGCTCCCCCTGGCTCGGTCTCCCCTTGCAGCTTGCTGAGTCGGACGGTCTGCCGCGTGCACTCAGCAGTCCAGGATGTGTCCCTTCTAAGAAGGTGGTGAGGGTCAACTGAGACCCTCCTGGTGCATCACTGGCCTGCAGACAGGAGCCTGAGTCACCAGGGCCTGCAGTGGGCTCTCATCGTGGTTTCTTCTGTGTGCCCTCAGGCTGTGGCCTGACCTCCTGGTATCAGCTGTTCTTGAAGTGCATGGGGGCGGGGTGGGGCTCTTCCAGCCGTCCCTCACCTCCTTGGAAATCCTGGGACTACTAAAGCAGCAGTGTAAGCAAAGGTGGGCAGAAGCCTCCTGAAACCCACAGTCCCCTGATCTTGGACACTAAGTGCCTCTTGCTTCCCCCACAGGCACTGGGCACCAGCAGCATGGAGCTAAAGCGGGGAAAGACCTTCATCAAATCCAGCCTGCAGATTTCTCATGAGAAACCCTCTGACTCAGTGGCTACCGCTCCCGGAAGGGAGGACGCAGGCCCATGGCTGGTCTCACCGGGAGGGCAGCAGAAGCTCCATGGTGAGAAGGGCTCCCAGGCGAGTCCTGGTGCCCAAGGGCATGGCAGGTACCCCAACAAGGGCGCTCCGCCCAACCCCGATGGAAGCCCTGTGGCCCTTTGTGGAGCCACCTTCAAGCTTGTGCGGAAGAGCAAGACTCACGACAGTGTTCTGGGAGCCAGCAGGGCGGCCAGCACCCCAGGGCAGCTGGTGGGGAGCACGAGCTTCCCGGGGACTCCCAGTGGCCCACGCATAATTGACTACCGCCACTTTGTGCCCCAGATGCCCTTTGTGCCAGCTGTGGCCAAAAGCATCCCAAGGAAGAGGATCTCCCTGAAAAAGCCCAAGAAGTGCTTCCGGAACCTGTTCCACATGCGCAAAAGTAAGACTGAGAACTTGGCTGCCCTGGCAAGCACGGGAAAGAGCCTGCCCTCCCCTGGAGACCCATCGCTTCCTGCAGGGCAACAAGGCCAAGGCTGCTTCTCCCTGGGGGAGGGCCTGGGGCTGGACAGCCTGGGGCAGGACCTGTCTGACAGTGAGCTCCTGCCGGACTCTCTCGACCTGTGCCGGGTCTTGTGTGAGGACGTGGCCTCTCTCAAGAGCTTCGACTCGCTGACAGGCTGTGGAGAAATCTTTGCAGATGAGAGCTCAGTGCCATCCCTAGAGCTCAGTGACAGTCCTGAGAGCCCTGCCTGGGGACCTCAGACCCTGGAGAACAAGGCCTCCAGGGGCCCCTCTCCAGGCAGCAAGGAGCAGCTGGCATCTTCTGCGCAGAATGAAGTTTCTGATTTCACTAAGTTCTGGGATAGCGTGACTCGCTCAGTGCGGCAGCAGCAGCAGCGCACGCTGCTGGGCCCGGGGCTGGCCAGCCCCCAGGGCATGGACACAGCCCAGCCTAGGCCTGACGCAGCTGGGCTGGCTGAACTGCCCCTGCTCCCCTGCAGGGGCCCTCCCAGTGGGTCCAAAGCCAGCTCCATTGACACAGGCACCCCCAAGAGTGAGCAGCCAGAGTCTGTGTCCACAAGTGACGAAGGCTACTATGACTCCTTCTCGCCAGGCCTCGAGGAGGACAAGAAGGAGACCCCGAGCCCCAGCGCACCCGCAGCTGCCTTCCCCAGGGACAGCTACAGTGGGGATGCCCTTTATGAGCTGTTCTATGACCCCAGTGAGGGCCCTGTTGGCCCTAGCCTGGATGATGATCTCTGTGTGTCTGAGAGCCTGTCAGGCCCGGCCCTGGGGACCCCACTTTCCATGTGCAGCTTCCACGTGGGGGCTGAGGAGAACCTGGCCCCGGCCCCGGGGCCTGACCTGCTCAGCCAGGGCTTTCTGCAGAGCTCCTGGAAGGGCAAGGAATGCCTGCTGAAGCTCTGTGACACAGAGCTGGCCATCACCATGGGCATTGTCAACTGGCTCCGCCGCACCCCACCTGCAGCCACTCCTGTCCCTGTGGAGCCCAAAGACCCAGCTGGCCCTCCGAGGGGGCCCTGGGGACAAGAGGAGAAACTGGAGGGCAAGAGGGACCAGGCTCCAGATGCAGGCAGGGCCACAGTGTGCTCGGCCCCCAGCAGAAAGGCGCACCTGGATGTCCAAGGCCTGCTCACTGGGGAGGGTGTAGCTCCAGTGGGGACAGAAAAGGGGACCATAGCCCCATCCCAGGAATCCCCCCTAGAGGAGGGGCCCCAAGGCCATCCTGAAGGCTTCCTCTCTTCTGTGGAGTCTGAAGCCACAGCAGCAACAGACACTTCTAGGAAAAGCAGAGCTGCGAACCCTCCTGCTTGGCCCAATTCACAGAAAGGGGCAGGGCCGCTTGGAGACCCAAGACATTGCCAAGGCCCCTGGAGGCCGGGTTACGGAGGAAGGACTCTAGAGGCAGGGCCTGTACTGGCAGACTGCTTGGCCCATGTGGCAGCCCTGCAGTTCCACTTGGATGGCCAGCGTCCCAGGCAGGACACCGGTAGTGGGCTCTTCAGGCAGCCTCAGGCCTGGAATCCCAACTTTCTGCAACAAAAACAGACTGGCAGCTCCCCTACTGCGCTTGCTGTCTGTTGCCTGCCCGCCTCAGCCAGCTCACAAGACGAGAAGCATCCAGACCTCATCCTGAACCTGAGCCAGCTCAGGTTGGAACCTGCCAGGTTGGGTGCCCAAGCCTGCGCCTCTGTGGAGAACCTGAACCTGCAGCGCAGCCCCAAGGTTGTGGAGCAGGCAGCACACAGGGTTTGTCTGGACTGTGGGCCTCCCTCAGCCCCTGCTGCCCCGGGAAGCCCCCGAGGCCACTCCCCAGAAATCCTGACCCTCACTCTGGACAGCCTGAGGTAAAGGGCTCCTCTTCAAGTAACCCCAAATGCTGCTGCACTCCTGGCCAGAAGTTGGGCCCCCAGGCCAGCTGCAGCCAAGCCCCACCCACAGCACAGGTCACTTGCGCTAGAAACCATGGCTTGATGGCCTTCATGAGGAGATCCTAGGACCCAAATCTCCATGTTTTTCTCTTGATGTAAGGACTGATTTGGGGATGGTGGGGGCAGGACTCAGGCAAGCCAGAGGTGGGACGTTCCTATGAGGAAGTATCGTAAGCTGAACAGAAATCCGAGGACAGCTTGAAGCTGCCACACCTCACTGCCCACAAGCAGCGTGGCTGAATCGGAGACTGATGGAAAAGAGGCGGTCACAAGGTGCATGGGCGAGGAGAGCGTGGATCGCTGGCTTGTGCTGTGGGGGAAGGGTGAGGCCCAAGGCTCAGGGTGAGTGGGAGTTGCGGTTAGCCAGAGGGCCTGCCGGCCCCGCCCATGAGCCCGCCTCCCAAGTCCCACCTCGCAGGCGTCTCCAGCCAGCCAGCCAGCGTCACATCACTTACGCATTCCTCTGCAGTCCTGTCTGGGCTGACTGGGCCCTGCCCACCTCTGCTGTGGGAGTTTCAAAATTCTGACACAAACCGTCCTCTTGCGAGGAATGGTTTTCCTCCACGTGCACTCTCCAGCTGGGGCCATGGAAGGAAGACCGCTCTCTGGGAAGAAGCTCTTACTTCTCCCCAGCTCCACCATTCTGCTTTCAAGTAGCAAAAGTGACTCTACCCCCTCAACACTGTTAGCATCCCCAACCCCTCTTCAGGAAAACTCGCTTTGGATAGGGCTGTTCACTTCCCCAAAGCTGAAACGGACAGCACCCAAATGCTCAGAGCTGTAAAGGAAGAAGGCAGCTAGTATGGTCAGAAAGGGCAGGTGTCCTTGCTGGCCCAGTGCCAGGGCAGCAGGTTCAGGGACAGATGGCTCATCCCCTCCCTCTAGACTTAGATTCTACCTCAGCCAAAACACTGCCATGGGAGGCAGAGGACAGGATGCCCCGGCACCCGTGAAATTTGTTTTTAGATGGAAGGGGGAGATTAGGTCACTGTTGAGCTCCCAGAAAAGCTGTAGTTCATCCGGAACTCCCAAGGGGAGAAGGGAATTGGACGAGCGAGCCTAGCCACCGCGTGAGACTGCAGCCTGGACTACAGGGAGGCGCTGTAGTCCAGGCTGCAGTCTCACGCGGTGGCTAGGCTCGCTCGTGATATCTGACGTTTGACTTCTGGCTGGAATTTCTCCTGTGGCCGTCATCCACAACTGTGCTGAGGCCTGCTGTGTGCACGATGCGGGAAGGCGAGACTCCGGACCAGCCCCCCGGCGGGGGATGTGGAGCAGCAGCTCTTCCGCGCAGCCACATCTGATTCCTTCTCCCAGGACGCTGCCCCCTAGTCACCGCCATGTTCCTGAGTCTAGCCCAGGCAGGTTACAGGCGGCCCAGTTTGCTCCCCCCAGCTTGACCCAAATGCGTTTCTCGTGCTCACTTTTTCAGACCTAGAAACTGAGGTGTGTATGGCCCTTGGTCATAAAGCTTGCGTGTGGCCACCAGGGTTTGAATCTCAGCGGCTGCAAAATCCCTGCTCTTGGGCCAGGGTTACAGCTCAGTGTCATAAGCACCTGCCTGGCAAGCACAAGGTCCTGAGTTTGATCCCTGGTACCGCAAAAAAAAAAAAAACAAAAAAACAAAAAAAAAACATAATAATAATAAAATAATAATAATAATAATCCCTGCCCTTCAGCAGGCTCCAGAACTTCTCGCTGAGTTTCCATGGCAAATACCTCCCTTGGATCCTTCCTCCTCTTGTTCTCTCAGGCCACCATGTCTGCGCCCCCACATGTCTTTGTGAGCAGGCTGGGAGCCTAGGGAGAGGCCATCCTCTCTCAGTCATGAACTTGTGGCTTTGTACTATACCTGACAGAGTAAGTGCTCAGCAAATACTTGTTGGGAGAATGAAATGTTGATGAATGGTTTTCTGATTTCTTCTTGACCATGAGCCTTGTGCCTGGAGAAGGACAATAAACATTTAAATCTTAAGTGGAGACCGTGTCCTTAGTATGCCTTGCGACGCAGTGCCTCACGGTGATAGGGTAGAACTCGGCCAGGCCCAAGAGCTAAAGGACAGGAACCAAGGTGGCCAGGCCTGGACGGGCAAGCCTGGAGTCAGCAGTGCTGGTGGGGGGTGTTCCCAGGATGCGGGGCCACGGCAAGGTGTGACCTGCCGTGCCCTCCCAGCAGCAAGGGAAGCGGAGCACCAGGGCCTCGCAAATATTCCCTTCTGTGCTTGGGTCCCAGGCACCTACCTTGGAGAATGGAGAAGGGCAGCCTAAGCTGCGGTGGTGACCTCTCTGCAGCCTGCCACTCCCCAGTGGGAGGGCTCTAGGCCATGCCAGCCATCCCAGCTTCCTGAGGCCTCAGGATGACTCACTGAGAAGACAGAGAACTTCTGGTCTTTGTCTACCCCTGAGGGCGGAAGAGGCCTGGCCTGGCATTTTAGAGATACTGGGTTTTCTAACCATCTTGGACCCAGTCTTCTCCATGTGAAATGACACCTTGAAAAGCAGTTCTCCCTGTCCCATGGGGCCTGAGGGTCTCATGAAGGGCCACACAGTAGCAGTAGCAAGGGGTGTCAGAGGGGCAGGGCCAGGAAAGCTGGGAAGCTGGACTGCTAGGGAAGCCAGGAGAGCTGGGGAGGGAGAGGC